ATAAGTGTATAGACCATAAGTTTTGGGTTTTTCCCTGACTTGCTTGTAACTTATATAACCTGTGCATTCTATTTGCCACATGGCTAGTTACCTTTCCTCAGTTTCATTCATCCAAGTTGAAAGCTCCCACTCTTGACTCTTTCCCAGATTTCCTATCACTCTCTGCTGGATATTCCACCTTCTAATCCTGCCTCTGGTCATTGGCCATCAGCTTTTTATTTACAAGTGATTCGTTCACACAGAGACAGATTGTCTCTACAAGATACTTAAACATCAAAGATAGATATTACCTTAGGATAAATGTTGGAAAAAGATATTCTAAGCAAATGGTTTAATAGGCAATCTGGTATATGTAAATGCATCTTTTATTCACCATATACAATTGTCATCTTGGAGGCTTACTGCTGAATAAACTCACACTTTCTGGTTCTTTCTGAATTCTGGCTGGCTGATTCAATTCAGCTGTTCTGGCTCAGACTCCTCTTCAAGCTGACGGATTCAAACTGGCTTCTCTTGAATTCTCAATGAACTGCTCTACTTGGACTCAAACTAACTCTGGCAATTTGTTCTGATCTTCTGGCTCCTTTCTTTTTTGTTTTTGTGGTTTTTTTTAGTTATTTTTTCAAAATTTATTTATTTATTTTTAATTCCTATTACATCCCAATCATAGCCTCACTCTCTAATTCTTCCTCCCCTCCCAGTATTACTCTTCCAAATCTCTTCTTTTTGGTTCCTTCTTATTCTCTGGCTTCAACTGCCTCTGCTGAACTACATTTCATGAACTGCACAAATTGAACAGAACTCATGAACAAACTCAGCTGCAGTGCCTAAACTATATTGATTTGAATTATTCAACTTCTGCTCTTCTCTTTGCTATTCAAAGGTAGCCTTTCTTTCCATGAAAATTGGGTATATCCTATCTCTGACTCATTCTGTCATTTCTGTATTCTAGAATATAGAAATCAGATCTTTCTCTGATTTCACTTTGTCTGCCCCTCAGTTAGTAGTCACTTTCAAACATGGCTGCTTCTGTCTACAATCTAACCTTACCTTTTTCATTAGGGATTAAAGGTCCCTATTAAGGGTCTGTGTATATTCCAGCAAGTTCATACTGTAATCCAAAGTGTGCTTACATTTCAGTCAGATCACATAAGCCTAGAATGTCTTTAGATCTGGTCTCTAGCCAAGTAAGTCATGTTGCTGAATTAAAATTTCTCTATAGTTATAGCCATTTGAATGTTTAATAAAATAGACTTCAAACTAAAACTAATCAAAAGAGGAATGGACACTACATGTTCATCAAAGGAAAAATCCATCAAGATGACATTTCAGTTCTTAATGTCTATGTACCAAACACAAGGGTGTCCAAGTTTGTTAAAACAAAACAAAACAAAACAAAACAAAACAAAACAAACAAAAAACAGAAACAAAAGTATGATTACAGCTTAAATCACATATGGACCTTCATATACTGATAGTGGGAGACCTCAAAACCTAATTCTTACCATTTCACCCAGTCAAAAACTAAATAGAGAAATACTGAATCTAACAGACATTATAAACCAAATGCACCTAGCAGATATTTACCGAACATTCAACCCAAACATAAAGAAATATACCTTCTTCTTTATACCTCATGGCACTTTCTCTAAAGCCGATCATATACTTGGACATGAAATAAGTCTCAAAAGATACTGGAAAATTGAAGTAACTCTTTGTGTCTTATCAGACCACCATGGGTTAAAGCTGGATATCAGCAACAACGTTAACATCAGAAAACTAGCTATCTTGTTTCCCTGGCTAATTGGTCCATCGATTTGGATGGGTCTGTGATAAAATAATTAGTTGGGGGAAGGCTAGTGGGAGGAGAAAATTGGTGTGATCTTGGACATGTGGGCTAAAAGGGAGGTGGGGCCACAGCAGGTGGTCTGATATAGTGCTCGGAGTAAAACTGAGGGATTGGATTTAAATTCTGCCATTTATTTTTATAAAAATCCTAAGTAAAAATAATTGTATAGCTTTATTCAAGCATTATAGAATATTTTGACTGAAAATAATAAACATAGTTGATAGCAGGAACTATATAACTAAAGCACAAAGGAACACCTACTGAGAACTATTTCTGTTTAAACTTCCCTAGTAATTATATTTCTCTGGTGATCTATGAGCCATGTTTTAGTGATATACATAAAACAAGTCAGTTTTTTTAACTTTAATAACTGAGAGAAAAGGATATAGCATTTCTTTGAGACTTATGAAGTCTTTGGAAGGTAATTTTTGTGCTCAATGAATTAAGAAAAATGGACAACTAAAAGGGAAAAGTATGTACAGATTTACAAATTTTAGATATTTCTAGGGTTTTCTCTACACTAGCTTTATAGATATACATTCCTAGTAATGAGTCATTGAAAAGTCACAGAATCTAGTTTTAAGTATTTGTCAATCTGTAAATAGAAGTCATGTTTATGAGAATGTCACCTATCTTATTGAGAATTAAGTTGACTATATTTTCATATGCTTAAGAGTCAATTGCATTCTTCTTTTACCAAGCTATAGGTTATATATCACTTGTCAAATTGTCTCTTTTTACAATGGATTTCAAGTTATTTCTTTGTCTTTTACTGCTGTTTTATGCTGCCCACCTTCGTCAAATTGCCATTACGTTTTCACTTCCATTATAGTAATTTTGCCTTATAGATAGCGTTTTTTTTTCTTTTTGATGTAGCCAAATGAACACATTTTAAAATGACATAAATTTTGTAATACAACCAGAATCACTTTTCATAAACAATGCTGAGGTCACAAAAAGATTTGTCATAAAACTGACACCGGTTCATTTTTAATTTCTTCTCATATAATCTTGAGATGTTAATGAGCAGCATTTCCTGCTGTCCTGCCCTGTACTCTGTTGCTCATTCCGTACTTTACTGAAACCTAGACAGCTAGCTGACTTTGGTGATCGTGTCTCTTGCTCCTTGGGCTTCAGTTGGATCAGGCCAAATGAACTCCAGCAGAGAGCCTGGATAGGACAGCCCTAAGTGTAAGGTCAGTGTGTTTGTCCTGTGTTTCTAATTCTAAGGCCACAGCTCTTGTCAGATGTCCCTTTCCACGCTATTTCTGTGTTAATTACTGGTTCTCATTTTGCTAGATCCTCAGGTTACTTGCTCAGTTGGATTTCTTCTCTCTCTCTCTCTCTCTCCCTCCCCCCCTCCCCCTCGCTCGCGCACTCGCTCACCCTCACTCTCAAAATCTCTCTGTCTCTCTCGCTAAATCTCACACTCCAAGAGCAAGTACAAG